CTGTGCGATTGTATTCTCAAATACAGCTTTGATGTTTAACCATATTGTAGGTAATTTGGGCAGAGGTCAATCATATAAGCTGTGTTAAATATATTAAATTCGGCCACAGCAAGGAAATTTCATGGATGACATCCTCAATCTCCAGAAAAAAAAGGCGGGCTAACAAGAGCAAGATTCCTACGTTTTCAAATGTTGACATCATAAACTTTATAAAACAAGAAATGATACGTATACTGTGGTAAGTTTACTGACAACTATTACATCATCCATTTGTCACTGAAACAACTTGGAAAAACAAGTTTTCAATTATTGTACAAATGAAACATCACATCTACTCAACCTCCATCACTTATATAAAAGGAACGAAATTCTTTACTGCATCAAAGTAAAAGACAAAACAATGAATCAGAACCTTATCTTGTCTCCTCTCTTCATATTTATCTGCGATCCATGTTCCGGCATGGCAACAGACATGGATCATGGACTTTGTCTATTTTCAGCAAGTTGACCACTGTCAGAGGACAACGAAATTTCTTGTTTTCATTTCCTAAATCAGGCGAAAATTAACGCGCGCGCTGATGTCATCCATAAAAATTACTTGCTGTAGCCTTATTGCAAAGATCAAATGGTGCAGTCTGAATAATGAGACTGGGTCATCATTTGCAGGACATGCACACATTATCATTGCCTGTTTACGTGCTTAGCACACTTTCAGCACCAAGGACAGGGCAAGGATACTGCCGGGCCGCCGGGCATGGATGGTAATGAGAACCATTCAAACCGTGTTAATGGCCGTTCCAAGTTCCAAACTACTATATGTAATGACATATTCTATTCAGAATGTGCCGTCAACCATCCTAGATGCCACCGCCAGATTCTGTCTGTATGCAATATCCACTTCAACTTGTTTCCACAGTTTTCTATTTCTGGCAAAATGTTCAGATAATAACTGTATGTTCGCTTCGCCTTCGGAGAGAAATGGGGAGTATTTTTGCCCTCCATTCACCGTGGCAAAGTCTCTACTTTCATTTGAATGTTTCCTATCTTCACCGAAAAGGAACAGAAATTGTTGCCGGCATTATGCAGGGTGCGCCTGACCTGTCTAGAGCCGTCCTTTCATAGCGCCTGCCCTGGGTCGTGGATATGTTCTGACATACACTTGAGTCAGTTTGCAGTGCGCCGTAAACCGGCATGCACATAAAGATAGTAGAAACGCAAAATGATACTACAGTGTGCGACGCAAGAGACGTACAGATAGTTTTATAATGGGAGAGAAGTGAAACTCTGCCAGACCTCGACTGCAGCTCAGGGCGACTACGTGAGAAGATAATCTTGCTACAGGGACCTCTGCGCACGACACACGCGCTGTTCACCATTAACTTATTTATAGGAGATCCACTTGCTGATTTCATTGTAAGGAACTCTGAATGCCTGGAGGACAGACATTACACATTTGTACGACCGGATCCGGGTAGCCTAGGCATTCATATTTATTTATACCAACTCAGTTGTAAAATCTTTAAAACATCGCCGAGAGCAGCGTTTGTAGTAGGCTGGTGTGAGGATACTTACCATTGGTTTTGTACAGAAGCTAACTTGTGTTATGCAGAAGGGCGGTTGTACCAGCTATGCAAATACGGATACAGAAGCTGGTATCTTACGCCGAAGGGCAGTTATACCGGCTTTACAAATACAGAAGCTGGTGTGTTACGCCAAGGGTGGTCATACTACTGGCTATACAGATACAGAATCTGGTGTGTTTCGCAAAAGGGCGGTTATACCGGCAGTTTGTGGCAGCATCACTACCTCATTATCATCGTCGTTGCGTAATTACCCCATTATCATCGTTGCCACACCCCATTGTCATACTTGGTACGTCACTACCTCCTTATCATCGTTGTTATCGCCCACACTATCATTACAAACAATTGCTTAGAAGGTCTAAAGACTCGGTACATGTGCAATTAGCTTTGTCTGCAACCCAACTGAAGTGAGTTAGTTCATTTCAGAGAAACTTGCACAAGAGATGGGAACCAAATTTATGTCACGTTTTGCTATTGGTATTCTGCGCGTGGAAAAATTGCGTTTGAAAACACGTGGAACCCAACTGAAGTGGGTTATTAGTTTATTTCAGAGAAACTTGAACCGGAGACGGGAACTAAATTTAAACAGCTTCAGTTTGTATCAATGACGTGTATGTCACGTTTTGCTATTGTGTCCAGCAAGTTCTCCGGTGCCACAAACGGGTTAGGGTTTACTTTTTTTGTGCGCGTAAAAAATAGGGCGTAAAAATCTGCTCGTAAAAAATTCCCAAGGGATTCAAAAACCTTTCGCTGTTTTAGTTAGACACTTGAATTCAGATAAATGTCATGAAATAGAATTGAGCATCATACTTTTGCACTCTAGAGTACACTTCCCTGTTTTATAATTTTTCCCGTCATTTTCAACTTTTAAGTTTTCGCGACCAAGATCAAGAAAGATTTTCGAGTCAAAGAACCTGCTTTAAGAAAATTTGAAATAAAGATATGCAAATTAACCAATTCCTAATTGAACTAAAATCATTAATTTTCGAAACGTTCAGGTTCTAGAAGATAAAAATAATATCGCAGTGACACATGTTTCTGCCTAAGAATTCGGTACTGCACATTTCAATTTTTCATGCGCAAGTGTTTCACGAACACCCCCACCCCCAACAACTTATCGCATGTAAGTCTTGCCTATGGAATCAATTAACTCTGTAAATCTGTGACATTCTCAATTCAAAACTATCGTGCTGAGTCTATTTCTTCTAATCTTTAGAATCTCAATCACTAATTCACTCACTCACTCATTCACGTCACTCTAATCTCTCACTCATTCATGCACTAGGTCTGAAATGTGTTTTGATGTGTTTTCATAATAGGTCTGAAATGTGTTTTGAACTTTGCCCCACATTCAAACTTTCTGCGCAGTAAGTCGAGTCAAAGTAGATACTTAAGTTTCTAGAATGCAATTAAGATGATAAGATACATGATTATAACAGCAACCAGTAAAACTCATTCTTGATAAAGACTGAATTAAAGTCGAAACCGGTCGAATTCCGTCTCGAGTCTGTCATTTTCCCATCGCTACGAATGGAGCAACCAGTAAAAGCATTCGCGATGAAATTAACTCAAAGCGTTTAGCAAGTTCACCCAACGTTGCTTAAACATTTTGCACGTTCGCACACACATTTATCTGGAGTGCTATTACACGTGGACACTTTCTTCGCAATACATATTATTCTTCACCAGTATCAACTACATGTTCATAGCCTCCTCATGATACATTCTACCACATATTCCGAGTACAAGTGGATACTTTCTTCGCAATACAAGGTATTCTTCATGCACATACATTACGGTACTCAAAACTCTCATGATACTTGTTAACGTTATTCAAAGCTTTATGCCTCCACTCAGTTAAGTTCAGGCGCATCTTTCTCAGTAGTATTGGAGTGGTGCTCGATCTATTGTTCCACTTAATCAAGTTCAACAGGCAGCTATTTAAAAGTAGAACTAGAGCCTACCCGAAAGGGGCATTATCTAACATTTTTGCACCAAACTTGAAACATTTTGAGTTTTTGATGGAAAAAATCTTCGTGATTATAATTTACTTCCACGTTTCACCACATTTGTGCAAATATCTCACATTTCTGACATTTATGGTTGGCAATAAAACAGCCCACACGAGGCGCACTCAGTTTGTGGTGCCACCACAAATTATCAGAATGTAAACAGTTTTGTTTCCAACTATACACACACTCATAGCGATTCATATTTTGGCCCCTCCACTTTCTAAATGGCACTTATTTGCAATTGACTAGGATTTATTCAGCTTACTTTGTAGAGAAATGATCAGAAAATTGACTTTTTATATCGTCCCAATCTTACATAATGCAGCTTTAACTGAAAACGCTCCCATCTTCATCAACAAGGATTTTTTTTCTAGACAAAGTCAGAAAGCGAGGATGACATCTAAGGGTGCGACGGGGTCAACACACGCAACCTCGTGAAAATTCGCCGTGACAGTATTGGGCCAAAATTGAGTTGCGTCCATTTTTCTTTAAGTGCTCAAACTGCCACCCTGTTAATGGAAGTGTTTAACACTCGGCCCTTTTATTCCGCCTCTGATCCCACAGATGTACCGAGGGGAATAACGCACTTAAACCCGGACAAGTGGAGAGTATCACATAGTCCATTATCTCATGATGATGTTATTTGCGTGTGAACACCTACTCCCCAAGAAGAGATTTAGGCTTCGGATTTTTTTTACGTGTTTTAGGCGTTTTATCGGGCTTTCTTTTTTTTTCTTTCTCTTTTTTGTACTTGTATCTTTGGGCGGCAAATGGATACTGCACTACCAGTTTGATAGTGCCTTGCAGCCACAAAAAAATCTGCTGGGAGATAAATAAACAATTTTCTCGATCGTGCCTTAAACTTCTAACTCACACTGAGGGCTGCAAGAATTAGTTGTTTGTCGTTTTCTTGTATCTTGTAAAGTGTGCCACCGTTCAACTATGTGGCCGCGATGGGACTGTACATGTATTCTGAAACAACAAAGCAGTCATCAGAAGTACACTTATCATACATAATGTAATTTTATAGGTTCGTAAAAGAACCTTGATACAAAGTAATTGGAGGATATTCAGTCTTCTTTAAGCTGATATAAGCTAGTGCCTGTAAACGTGGCTTAATCGAGGAGTTGCCCGTGATTAGACACATTTGCTACCCCCGCGCAACTGGATTTCCTATCAAAAGGCCGGTTGTGAATATTACATTGTTCGTTCAATTTTCCTCCTTTTCAGTGATTCCGTATCTATATAACGTATATCAATATGTATGTGAGAGCGTCCGCCTGAGGTAACGCAATCAGTTGGTCAGTCGTGTTGAAGAAGGCTGTAGCCTTAGTTCAATTCCTCTCCCTTTAATCTGTTACTATATGGGATCTATGTTGACTGTGTCCCCGTTGTGTTACCACAGGTATGTGAGAGTGACCGCCAGTGCATCCAGGCCAGGGGCCAGAAGTCTTGCTGCGCCCCGCTGGGACTGCGGGACCTCTTCTCGGGGATCCCGGTCTGCAAGCCGATGGGCCTCCGGGGCGACCGCTGCCACATCGCTGGGGACTACCTGCCGTACCCGCTGGACACCCCCAGGCGCTTCTGGCGCTGCCCCTGCGCCGACGGCCTGTCCTGCCTGGCGCCCAAGGGCTCGCTGCTCGGCCGCTGCAACTATCCACGCATGCGGTGATGACGTCACCAGCGGCGATGATGTCATCAACGCGGCCGCCATCTTTGTTCCGTGATGACCTGACCAGCACACGGCCGCCATCTTTGAAATTTACATAGGCAGACGGACGTGTTCTTTCTCTAATTGTGAACTGAACAAATTAAATGTTGTTTGGCAGCCTCGTGAACCACAAAAGATAAAGAAAATGTCGTCTGCCTATTGTAGCACGGAGCATTTGGTTTTAGGAACACATTCCAAAGAAACATTTGTTGCAGACAAAGTTCCGGAAAAATTAGAGGACGTTAGTTACAATTTGTCGTTGGAAACGAAATGTGATGTGTTTTGGAAGTTTGCACACCGTCAAGCAATGTCCAACAATCAATAAGATATATTTTACACTGAACCCTTAAATCTTCAACATCTGAAATATGTTTGGCTGGTATACTATACAGGTATGGTTGCGTAACTAGCTGATAGCTTGCTATTGTTAAAGGCGAAGCCCGGCATACTTACTACATTTGTCAAATATATCCATACATGTCTTGGAAACACTTTGATATGGGAAACAGTATAAAGGGACATGGTTGTCTTATCGAGTGCATTTTCTTCTATGATGTTTTTCCTTATAACTTTCAAGTCCGTGCTCTATGAATGTCGATTACGCTACACTCATTTGATCAGTTTTTAATGTGATTATATCACTGAATATAAAACACGGTTCGTGTTCGATTTTGATCATGCATATACAATCTTAACAAAAACGAGCTGGACTCACGAATGTACACGTAAACAGTTCACAATAAACGTATGACGACTTGAAAACTTACTACTTTTCTTTGTCTTTTCAGGCTCTGATTTTTCTGAGCCAATGTCATACATTGCATACGTTCCAAACATGTCTCGAAAATTATGTTTATCTTCGCGGAAGGAAAACATATTGTTTCTCACTTTCTTCTCCAAACACAAAAAGCCAATGACCTGGAGCAGACGTATATATATCACCATGGTAACAGGCGCTGTATCAGACACCCTGTGGTTTTGGGTTACCGTTATGTAGCAGGACAGAGCTTGAAAATTGACGAGCTGGTCATCATATGTATTCTTGATGAGTAACTTTGAGTTAGAATAAACAGAGCAATTTTTGTTGAGCTAGACCATGGTCATGTACATGTAATCATTACGCATTTGCCTTGCAAATATTACCTTTCTAGTTGCTTGCTGTATGGGCTTTTCTGCCAGGAGGCGCTTCAACTGCATCGCAAACTCGCAAAACCAATGCTTTTGGAAAAAATAGTTTACGTAGGAGTTGCTAAAATAGTATAGAATTAGGGTCGGGTGATGTGTTTTCAGGGAAGGATTTCTTTCGGTTGAAAGTAAAAGATGAGACCTAATTACCTTGTATCTTGACAGTCGGGGATTCGCGTTGTTCGAAGTATATGTGGGTAGCTTTCTGCAGTACTGAAGACATCGACAGGCGGCAGTATTAGTGCAGGGGAAGATGCCTATGTCTCATTTTCCCATCTTTGGTCTTTACAAAGAAATGTTTGTAAGCCTGTGGAAAAAACGATAACCTGTCGTACATATGGACTGCCACGGAAACGTCTGACTCTATACACAATTTATCCAGCTGTTTATTTTGTATGATGTATCTACCTGGATGTCTAGTGCCTTCATCAGTAGGCTTGGGGCCGGGTTTATATCAGTACCTATCTAGTCCTATGCCTGAATGGATTATGATCAGGTACGATTCGGGAGAGTCACTAGCGTATCCAGAACCGTGACTAATATTATCTAGTTCTGTGCCTGAAATGGTTAGGAGCAGGCACGGTTCTGGATAGTCTTCGCGTATACAAGACCGTAGATTTGCCACAGGCATGATCATTATGGATACGCGAGGTCTATCCAGAACCGTGTCTGAGCATGGTTCTGGATAAAGCACGGTTCTGAATACGCATGGTCTATTCAGAACCGTGTCTGAGGATTGTTCTGGATAAAGCACGACAGAGTTTTCGCCCGTGTCCAGCCTTGCCATGAGACACCGTCACGACTGCGGAACTCACATGCGACGCGAGCAGTGACAGATCTGTCCAACAGTTCCCCAAAACAAGCATGTAGTCTGAGGGAAAAGGCCACAGGGGTTTGTCGTCACCTCGATTCCCACGACTGCCAGGGAGGTGAAGTATGCTAATTGATGACGGCTCGGACCTTGAGAAAGTCAGGAAAAAGGCCGGAGTCAGTAAAGATGACGGGGGGAGCGGTGGGGAATGAAGGCCGATAAACTGGCGAGAAAGAATATTTATGGGCTGTTGTTCGATCGCTCGTCCTATTTGTTCATTTTTCAAACTGTCACTTATACTTGCTGCAGGCATCGTTACCTATAGATACAGTACTAGTGTTAATGGTACCGAAAGAAAATCCATTCCTTTGCAAATGTGTTTTGTCTTCTTTGTAACTTTGTTGAATTGTCTTCAACCAGTGTAAAAGAGGGCTTCAGTGAGCGATGCAAGTTTTCTGAACGTTATGTCTGAAGTTCTATTGCATAAGGCAATACAGGTAGATGCATATTGGGGCATTTTCTGGGCATTCTCAAGTTGCAAGACCCAAACTCGTGGGACTTCCTGCGCAGCTGACGCTGGGAACTTGGCAGCCATGGCCGTTTAGTTCTGATGCACAGGTGCAGAAACATACAATGTACACCTGTAAGATGCAATAATTCAGGTTGTCTTAAACTGAGCCTTGACCAAAATAAGTAGTCTCCATCAAAACTACTTCATGAAATTCTTGAAACTGGCTGAGTTGGATGACTGATGGTGGAATGTTACTAGCGTTGTTGATTTGGAATCCAACGGTTCATGGGTTCGAATCCCAAGCAGGTACTAATTTTGCGTCTTGGAGAAAGGCACTTTACACCGACTTCCTCTAGCTTTGAGGTCGGAGCCTCAACCACGACTGTTTGATAGAACACGGTTCAATTTTCACCCGTTTTAGATATGGCCATATCTAAATGTACCGATCACCATGTGAAGCTTGTCACATTACAGTGATAACAGAAGAACACAGACAGATCCCACCATGGGCACACAGATATCCGCCGTGTCGAAGGACGCACTCTTCCGGCTCGTATCAATGTTTAAGACGCGGTCAAAGTCGGTTGTTGCACTTTCTTTAACTTGTGGTACGAGTTTTCAGCTATGTCACAAGACAACTGGATTTCTCCTACGACACAGCCTAGACTGGCCCGATAATCATTGCTGTCTAAACTTGCTGTCGTAAACCTACTTGTTCAGTGTTTACCTATGTGCATTTTTATCATACATCTTAAAATTACAACGACTTGTCGCAAGCTCTTCTACAACTCACAAACAAACAAGTTGATACAACTTGAA